TTTCCTTGAACACCAGAGGCTCTACATCACAATGCCAGCAGTCACTGGAGGAGTTCAAACTGGCCTGGACCAATGCTCAGTGGAAACCATCAGGTTGGGCTGAGTCTGCCCTTCACTGACCTTGTGCAGAGACTCGGGGTTGTGCATTAGGGGAGCAGCCAAGGGGAGGACTGCGGTGTGCTGACAGAGCCACACACAAAGTCACAGTGCAGAATCCCAGAAACTCAGCAGTCACTGTCTGCCCCAGGCTCCTCTCTTCAGCCCATTCAACACCACTTCCAAAACACCGTGTTTTTCACGGTCTCCATTTCACTGATGCTCAGAAATTTTCATCCTTTTAGCAATCCTCAAGCAACTCCACCACTGCCTCCTGAGCCTATGAAGTACCCTCTGTCCATGTCCCTGACTGTTCTTGCAAATTCCCCCCTCTCTTACCCTCATGCTCAGTCAATGCAGCTGTCCTTGCAGCTCACAGCTCCTGAAATCCACCAGCACTTGGTGTGTTCTGCAAAAACAGCAGCTTACCAGGGAAGCAACTGGCAAACTTTATCAGGAATAACAAGAGTCAACAATAACTCACACTGCACTCTGTTCTCAGCTCTGGAGCAGTTTCCCCATTGGTGTGTATTCACATGCAACTCAAGAGGTGTTTGATATTTTATGGCTGTGAATTCCAGGTGCCAGATAACCTGTAAGGGCTGTCTCCCACCTGACAGACAGACAGCACTCCTCAGAAGGATGTGGGGACCATGGCATATGCCTGCTTCCTTCTTTTTTTTTTTTTTTCAAGCAAGCATGATTAACCTTTGATGGAGCATTAAAACATTTTCCATAGCTCCTGTTGTGCAGAGAGCCTGGACTCCCATCCTGTTCAAATGCAAAGGAGCTGCTGGCACACGCCAGAAGGATAAGAAGTCCTTCTAGAGGTTTGACATTGAACAGAGAGGTCTAATCGTCAGCTCTGCTTCCTTGAGGAGGCTTCCCAGCAGGCAGGAAGGGGTTTTGCCTTGAGGGCACAGATCTAGTGGCTGTCTCCTGGCAGCTTTCCTCACCTGCAGGTCAGGTTTGGGTTGTCTGTGTAGCATAGTCAGGCTTTCATTTCAATCAGCTGTCTCATTCACACACATTATCTGCTTTAAAATAACAAGCTGTTGTTCCTGCAGACAAAGAATCACATATCACATCCCAATCCTCCAAGAAAAGCCCTGTTCTAGGAGCTGTGCATCCCAAGGGTAACAGAGAGAAGGGGGGAAGGGACTTCTGAAGATGGGGCAACAGTCTATGGGGGAAGGACAGCTGGAAGAGAGGTGACTACCTTAGCTAACAAGCCCCCATAAAGTGCTGAGGAGAAAAATCCAAGGACAATGTAGTGAGGAGACAGGCATCTGGGGGAGTGCAACTCAGCAGTGCAGAACTGGTGGACAAGAAGGGAACAACAGAGAAACTTTTAGCCAAAAGGACAAAACAGTTTGCTGATGGTGGGAGGGGAATGCCAGCATTTCTCACTCCAACAAGAAACAGCTCTTTGTAGCTACATGCCAGGAAGAGACATACAAGCAGAATAAAGCCAAATGAAATACTCAAGCAAAGTCGAAGCAGAGACTCTACTGCCCCGCTGGAGAAAGGAGCAAAGGGAGGAAAAAGCCCTTCAACATGAACTTGGTTGTTCTGTCTTCCCTCCCACTTCATGACAAAGAATGGTCTGCGCTTGGGAGAAGCTCTTGGCTGCTACAGAAAAGGAAGCAGGGCTCTGCAGATAGCACTTTTTAAATTCCGCTCATAGTCTCACATCTCCCATCTCATGCAGTTTCCCTGCTATATAGAGCTCAGTTACTGCTGCCCATTTCCCCTGTTGACACAGACAGAAAATTGAGCAATTACCCTTAAACTCCTCTCTCTCAGATTGCCCAGATTGCTACATACACAGCATTAAGCCCCCAGTTGCCCCTGGCCAAAAGTGACTCAACTAGGTTTGTCCTTAAGGAATTCAACACTTTTTTCTTGCTTGTGAAGGTTTATTATTCCTCAAGTTGTGATGCATTAAATCCTGCTAAAGCAGGTTTCCCACCATGCAGAGGAGCTGGCTCCCTCCATTACAAGGTTCAGCTGGACACACATCCACCCAGCAAAAGTGCATTATCCATTCACTATGCCTATGTACTAGCATGTACCAGCGTGTGTTCAGGAGGATGGGCACTAAGTTCACAGAGGGTGCTGAAGGAAACCCCAATATCCATCAGCTAGACAATCCATAGCTATTTCTGGAGAGACACTGCACTTTTTCAAAAATCTTTCCAGCCTGGAGTTTTACAGGGGCAAACTGCTTTTAATCAAACACATATCTTTGCTTTCCTACAACTCAAAACTGGCTTCTCTTTAAAGTGGCTCTCTTGTCCTGGACTAGCCTCTATGAAGCAGAAACATGGATTAGAGAAAATGAATTCTGAGCACGACCTAAGCCAAGGTACTCCACTGCTAGTATTTCAAAGGTTTGTATTGCACCATACGGATGACTTGCACCTTCTGGGTTTCCCTGTGCAACTGTAAAGAATGACTGAAACTGCAGATATTTCCATGCATGTCCCTGTCTGCTCCACCCACTAATCTCCCATATTGCTTCTGTCTTTCCACACAGCCTGAGAAGTGACCATCCTCTCCCAAACTCCCATGGAGATGAGGAATCATTTCATGCACAGGGTGAATGACCAGGAGCAATGAGGGAATTCTACTTTTATTTCTGAAACTACACGGCATATCAAGCCTAAAAGTCTCCACTTGGCTGTACAACCTTCCCTCCATTCTCCAGATGCAAAACTGAGCTCTCTTCAGGCCCAATGCTGTTTTAACACTTTCTCCAACGGACTCCAAATTCTGAGCTTCTAGGTGTTCATGATGTATAAGTTATCACAACTAAGCACATTTCAAATACACAAGAATACCTTTTTAAGGGCATATAGTTTTGTCCTTCATTCTTCTAATGAAAAGGTTGGATGGGGGACAAACAATGTTAATGGAATGGTAGAGCTCAGCTTTCTAATCGGTTAGAGGAAGGCGATCCAAATGTATTGGTTGACAGCAACAATCATTATGCAACTGCGCCTGTTCATATTAAAGTGTACAAGCTAACACATTACGCAGCACAAAATAACCGTGACCCCTCCTTGGGGATCTATACACCAATGTCTTGATTTTTGTGTGTTTAGAATCTGAGCTTTACTGTTACAGTTAAGGACACGGGCCCAAGTGCAGTTCTGTGAGAAGGGGAAGCTGATATGGCTCAACTTACTGCACAGCCACAGCACATTACTCCTTGCCTTCTGCACTGGGCAGTTATTTGTTTCTCTCTGTTTATTAAAAAAGGAATTTTATTCTGGTTCGGGAGTTTGTTTATATGTCACTTTTCTTCACTGCAATTGCTGAGCCTACATGGAAAACTCCTCTCTCAGAACAGCTTGGCTTAATCTCTCTGTAGAAATAGGACTACAAGTATGCAATGCACTGATTCATTTAGAGATCTTCCAGATGTAAATTAGATCCACAACCCAGTGTATTTGACTGTACCAGAAACTGCCTGGGTCGGAACCACACTTGGATTAGTGGGATCTTTCTTCTAACACACAGATTTAATCCAAAGCTGAACTCTGGTTTGCTAACAATCCAAATTCAACTGTTAACAATAGGTTAGGCACAGATAAATAAGTGAAGTGTATTAGGACTTGCCATGTCTTCATATCACATTCTCTATCAATTCTGTTCTGTATTTATTACCCAAGGTCTTAGAGCACTGAAAGTCACATGCTGCAAACACGTGGCAAGCATTTTTATGCCTGGTTAGCACACACAGTTGTTGTGTTCTGAATACAGGACCAAGGTTCAACAAGAAGGACAGACGTATGTGAACAGTCAAAGGGCTGTTCGGAACAAACTATCAGCCTCAGTGACATACGCTGAAATTTAAGAAGCCCAAGACACTTCTCAGGGGAGAAATTAAGTCTATTCTGAAGATGCCAATGCTATAAAGGTGCCACTTCTGGCAGTCATATGTTGCAATGCTTAATCTGTCTGGAAGACTCAAATAAGTCTTGATTTAATCTCATTAACCATACTGATGTCTGATCCTTTGTGACTCCTGGTAATTCTTCTGATGCTTCGTGATATTTTACAGATGCAACTTTTTATACACTGTACAAAATTCTTAGCCTTTCAAAACTGAGGCAGCTCCTAGAGACTTCAATGGATTTCTCTGCAGCCCACAGTTCTCTAGTGCTCTTCTCAAAATTCATACCACAGATTTTTCCTGAGATTTCTCTTGGCTCCCAATCCTAGAAGAGCAGGTGTTACACACTATAAAGAAAACTAGTGTTAAATCAGGAGTCCAGTAGATTTCACAGCAGCCTCTACAGAGACGGGATGGGATGGGATTACCCACCAGTGCCTATGTTTAGCTTATGATCTATGATCTTGGATTAGGGCAAGTGGATTTTCAAAATTAAGAATTCTTTCACAACAGAGACCTCAGGAGAGTGGTGCAGACGCTTGTCCTGATGAGAGCAAGACAAGGATGTTACTTTAAAACATGAGACAGGCTTTAAGTATAGCATACTATCATTGAAACTAGGGGACAGCAATGATTTCTTTCCCTGCTCTTAACCTTTTATTGCTCTTTTAGCTCTCTTTTTGCCCCAGACCACTATTCTCCATGTGGAGGTAATCACAGAGAAAAGCATGTCCTCGACACTTCCCTTCTTCCCAAAGGTGCTTTATAATTCTGTGTTAATGAAGAGCCAGAGTTAGACTACAGGTTCACCTTCTCATCCTCCTCTCCACCTCCTTTGCTCTCTCTCCCTCATTCAGCAGCTGGGGAGACTAAGCAGTATTTGTTTACCTCCAGGGTGGTTCATTTCCTTGCCATTTCTTACAAGATGCCTCTGCTCACTTTACTGGAGAACTCCCAAACATGCATGAAGCCACTTCTTGCAGTCAAGTAGGTGATACCTTACCTCCTCCATCATCTGATGCCTCCAGGCTCTGCTGTCTAAGACGATGGCTGCAGCAAAACACAAGGAAAAAAGAATTTCAACTGCAAGCCCGGAAAAGCATCTTCTTGTGTCCCCTTCCTCCCCACAAGCCTCATGGCCTGTCAAGAGGAAAGTTCGCAGGTTCGCTTAGCCTGCAGACTGACCTTCTTCCATACTCCTCATTGCTGGACTCAGCAGAAATCTCAACTTGGAGTGCTTAAGCAAGATGCCTTGTACCTGAGACAAAGCCCTAGGCTGCAGACCGTAGGGCCTGCAGTGGGTCTGGGAGGAGAGCAGATGCTTTCTACTTTTCCTTCTTTCTGTCATATGGGAGTGACAGAGCCATCACCTACTCCATATCCAGGGAACTACAGAGTGACCAGCCTGGCCCCATCCCAGGACACAACATGAATTCATGCCAGGCTCTGCACCCTTCCCAAGTTCCAGATCTCAGTGTACTGGTGCTTAGAGTTGCATGTCTCTTCTCCATGAGATCAGATGTAAGAGTTGTGGAAAAAATCTCAGGAACAATGGGAACTTACTCTTCTACTTCTTCTCCATGCTTTCTTCCTGATCTGCAAGACAAGGAAAGGCTTATAGAATCATAGAATGTTTTGGGTTGGAAGGGACCTCAAAGATCACCTAGTTCCGACCCCTCTGCCATGGGCAGGGACACCCTCCTCTACACCAGGTTGCTCAAAGCCTCATCCAGCCTGGTCTTGAACACTTCCAGGGATGAGGCATCCACAGCTTCTCTGGGCAACCTGTTCCAGTGCCTCACCACCCTCAATGTAAAAAATTTCTTCCTTATATCTAATCAAAATCTACCCTCTTTCAGTTTAAAGCCACTTCCCCTTGTCTTATGCTTAGAAAAGGCTAGAGAAAACTTTAAAAATGCACCTTTCCCTGTATCACTGTTATTGTGCATAACAGTTCCTGCACCAGGTCCAATATAACACATCACATCTTTAAAGAGTTCTGAGTGTCTAAAAAGTCCCTGAGTGCATCAGATTGAAGCAGAACCTTTTGATCCAAAAAGACAGCCATGCCCAGATACAGCAAGAACCACACCCCTTTTTTTTAGCTGCTTAGATACTTTTTCATCCCCTGTCACCAGCTGCAGGTAAAGCTCACCTTTCTTGAGCAGAGAGGTCAGCACATTAAGGAGTGAAGAAGATGCTATACTTTGTCTACCTATCCCTGAGAGATCAACAGGTCCTTCCTCCCCCCGGTCGTGCATAAAGATTATCTGGTTGCCTTTGTAGGTTAAGAGCCCCACTTGAGCTGGCCAAATTCAGGTCAGATATGCTGTTGCTGCAGTAAATCAGGGTTGATCTGGCTGAGTTAACAGCAGTTCATAATAATAACATTGGGGGGAGGCACTGGCAAATGGCAGCTTCCTTGCTCTCCATCCCAGCAAGCCCAGAAGTAATTCAGTCCCGATTAGGAATGCTTGTTCAATATTCAAAATGTAAAACATGGAGGTTGCTGAACCAGCACTTTGAAAAGTTAATTAAATGCCAGGTTTCTTTTTAGCAGATACTCCATCACTCGCTGATTGCTTTGGCCATTTTGCAGAGTGAAGTTTCATCTCTATGCGCTGGGAATAAATATTCTCCTCTCTGTAAGTCAAAGAATACAAGGGGCTCTCCCATACCACACGCACTGTCCCAGGACAGTGGGGCAACAAGATGAGAGATAAGTTGCTTCAATGCCTTGCGCTGCTCTTTTCAAAGCAATTCCAAGGTCTCTCCTCATCTGCTTTCTGTTCTAGCAGGTTATGGTCCTCATCTAGCTCTCCTGTGAATAATCTACTCTTCCAAGCACAAAGAGCAGGACACAAAGGATGTCTAGCTATGAGAAGAAGAAAGCTCCTTGACTCCACTGCTCTCCCTGGAGCTTGCAGTCTGTGAGGAGCTAAAGATTACACTGAATTGATGATCTGAGCCCAGTAATATCCACTGCTATAATCAGAACTGCAGCTGTGTAGGTGACATCTGCATCTGGGCTTTCAGCTACATCTGCACTCTTCTGTCCATCAGGAGAGGCAGAAGTGCAATAGAGCTGGGGAATTTAGGAAAGAGCTCTTCCTGTGAGGAGTAACTGTCCAGCTCCATCCTCCTCCCCAGTGCTGGTGCAAAGCACTTTTTGTGAACCCCTCAATACTATGGAGAAAGAAAGGGATGGCTTCAGAGAGCTCACCACCAGCTCTCACTGGAGTTTAGAATCTGAGAAGACAGAGATGGAAAGATGACGCAAGATTTATGCTATTTTATCCCTCTCTTCTGCCTTCACAGAACTGCTTCCCACTCTGTCTTCAGAGCCTTGCCCTTACTGAGGTGAAACATCCCAAACGCTGGCTTTGCACAGCCTTGCACAGTGAGATGATTTCCTGGCGGTTCAATCTAACCTCTTCTTAGCATGATCCTGTTACTCTTGATAATTGTCCAGCCCCAAATAACACTCTGTTCCTCAGTACTTAAACTCAAAACATCTTTGCTCATCTGCTATCCTCAGGCAGGAGTGAAACACTCCACATGTTTATACTTCTCAGGAGAGGATCACTCCTGCTATCCTTGTAAGCAATTTCTGTTTCTTTTTCCTGAGCTCCCTGTCATGACAGATATCCAGGTGGCCCACAGGGAAGGCACTCATGTTAGTCCTAGAGGCAGAGACTACTTTACTCATGTTCCAAGACTTCTCAACTTTTCCTTGTTATGTTAAGAAAGGACTTGTTCAGGGCAATAAGCAAATACTTAATTATGAAATAGCTGTGCTATATTGGAAAAAATAGTAATTTGGGAAACAAACTCATAAACTGGGAAGGGAAAATAGTACTGACCCCTTTAATCCCACAGCCCAGGTGTTAGAACACTCTTGTGTCAAACAAGATAGTTCCCTCCTCTCTCTAGGGCAAGCTAAAGCCCCACGGTCAGCCTCCCAGGAGAACACCTTAGTCTCTGTGCCACAGGGTCCGAAGGTGGCAGTGGATGATGCCAGTTTTTTATGCTGACAGCACTATGGTTTATACAGAGCATTTAAATACCAATGATGCTATAGCAGGAGCTAGAAACTATTGTTGTTCTGTTCAAACACCTGCTTCCAGTCACCTGTACTAGATATATTTTTTAATGTATGATCACTAGATGATACACCCACTCAAGTAAGAGCAAACAAACCAATACAATCCTGGGAGCAGTGCTCAGAAATGCATTCCGTCTGCCGTATTATACACCAGCCACCTCCATTTTTGTGAGAGCGATATACCTCTGTTTCTTTCATTTCTTCCATCGAGACCATTGCACCTGGAGTGCCAAAGAACATGGACTGACCTCATCACCTAGACAACTCCTTTTCACTGCAAGGCTGTCTGTGCTCCCAAACATAATCAAAATCCCAGAATATTCCTTCTGGCTTTGGCAAGCTGCTGACCCCCAGTATGTTGAGGAGCTGAGAAACTGGGCAGACGACCCCGACAGACACCATGTGACCCCATGTTACGTAACTCCTAGTACAGAACACCTATTTTTCTCCTAGCTGTGCCCTGGGGCAGAGGGCATAGATCTCATCTCGCTGCTCTGGAGTGTTGTCTTTGCTCAGTTC